GGCTACAGTAATCAAAATAGCATGGTACTGGTACCAAAACAGAGATATAGACCAATGGAACAGAACAGAGGCCTTGGAGGCAATGCCACACATCTACAACCATTTGATTTTTGACAAACATGACAAAAACAAGCGATGGGGAAAGGATTTCTTGTTCAATAATGGTGTTAGGATAACTGGCTAGCCATGTGCAGAAAACAGAAACTGGACCCCTTCCTGACACCTTACACTAAAATTAACTCCAGATGTATTAAAGACTTAAACATAAGACCTAACAGCATAAAACCCCTGAAGAAAACCTAGGCAAAACCATTCAAGACATAGGCATAGGCAAGGACTTCATAACTAAAACACCAAAAGCATTGTCAACAAAAGCCAAAATAGACAAATGGGATCTAATAAAACTCCAGAGCTTCTGTACAGCAAAAGAAACAATCATTAGAGTGAACCAGTAACCAATAGAATGGGAAAAAAAAGGTCTGCAATCTACCCATCTGACAAAAGGCTAATACCCAGAAACTATAAAGAACTAAATCAGATTTACAAGAAAAAACAAACCTATTCAAAAGTGGGCAAAGGATATGAACAGACACTTTACAAAAGAAGACATATATGAGGACAACAAACATATGAAAAGAACAAAGCTCATATGCTCATCATCACTGATCATTAGAGAAATGCAAATTAAAACCACATTGAGATATCACCTCATGCCAGTTAGAATGGCGATCTAACTGATCCTGATTTAAAAATCAGGAGACAACAGATGCTGAAGAGGATGTGGAGAAATAGGAACACTTTTATACTGTTGGTGGGAGTGTAAATTAGATTAACCATTGTGGAAGACAGTGTGGCAATTCCCCAAGGACCTAGAAATAGAAATTCCATTTGACTGAGCAATCCCATTACTGGGTATATATCCAAAGGATTATAGATCATTCTATTATAAAGACACATGCAGACGTATGTTCATTGCAGCACTGTTTACAATAGCTAAGACCTGGAACCAACCCAAATGCCCACTGATGATAGACTGGACAATGAAAATGTGGCACATATACACCATGGAATACTACACAGCTATAAAAATTGATGAGTTCATGTCCTTTGCGGGGACATAGACGAATCTGGAAACCATCATTCTCAGCAAACTGACATAAGAACAGAAAATCAAACACCACATGTTCTCACTCATAGGCGGGTGTCGAACAATGAGAACATATGGACACAGAGGAGAGCTTCACACACTGGGGTCTGTTGTGGGGGGAATAGGGGAGGGACAGTGGGGGATAGTGAGGTTGGGGAGAGATAACATGGGGAGAAATGCCAGATATAGGTGACAGGGGGATGGAGGCAGCAAACCACCTTGCCATGTATGTACCTATGTAATAATCTTGTATGATCTGTACATGTACCCAGAACCTGAAGTACAATAAAAAATATGTAAAAGAAAAGAAACATGAATATTAAAAAAAGAGAAAGTTTGCCCTTTTCTGGGCCCTTATCAATATTTTCATCATATCAAAGGGAGAAGCTACATTGGAGCTGTGAGACAAATATCATATTGAATTGGAAGTCACTTTGACTGTGCATTTTTTTTTTTTTTTTTGAGCAGAGTCTCCCACTGTTGCCCAGGCTGGAGTGCAGTGGCATCATCTTTGCTCACTGCTACCTCTGCCTCCTGAGTTCAAGTAATTCTCCTGCCTCAGCCTCCTGAGTAGCTGGGACTACAGGTGTGTGCCACCACACCCAGCTATTTTTTTTTTTTTTTGTATTTTTAGTAGAGATGGTGTTCCCCCATGTTGGCCAGGATGGTCTCAATCTCCTGACCTCATGATCTGCTGCCTTGGCCTCCCTAAATGCTGGGATTATAGGCATGAACCACTGCACCCAGCCCTACTTTGCATTGTTAATCATATTAACAACAGTGTACTGGAGTAACTTAGAAAATTTTTACAATTTGGTCCAGTTAATAGACTTATTTACTGAATAATTTTCAAAAATTAGGTTAAAATGTATGGCTTTTTCTCTGCTAACTCTGCCCATTGCTCTTTGAACCAAGCCATACCAAACCAACCAAACTACACAAAAAAGACCAGGTTTGTATGTCAAATCTGGAATGTTTTGAATCTAAAGAAAAACTTACTCACTTATAGTTGGAGTAACATATTTATGGGTACTGGATTTTAATGCCGTTAGTTTGAGTGTGTGCTTTCATGCATACTTGGTTGACAGTGCACAAGATATCAAATGTGGAGTAGACTGCTTAGGGTTGCATGACGCAGGACATGGGCATGACTTCTTGTCTTTGGGTCTTGATGAGCCAACACTTCATCTCAAGACAGTGTCCTCTAGCTCATAAATATGTTAATGATGCATAAATATTAAAAATAAACATGGAAGTGTACTATAAAACTGTTCACTTCAATAAACCATAAAATAATGAATGGTAAAGTTTTTAGTCTGTTTTATTAATCATCAGGAATAACAACACCCGGTCCTCATTAAAAGGCAAATTATTGTTGTGCCTTGCTTAACAATGGGGAAACACTCTGAGAAATGTGTCCTTAGGTGATTTTGTCACGTTGACATTACAGAGTGTACTTACACCAACCTAGATGCTGTAGCCTACTACATACCTGGGTTAAACAGTATAGCCTATTTCTCTCTGTTTTTTATTGTACAATAGAATCTGTACAGCATCTTATTGTACTAAATAATGTAGGCAATTGTAATACAATGGTGTTTGTGTATCTAAACACATTTAAACATAGAAAAGGTACAGTAAAAAATACGGTATTATAATCTATGGAACCCAAATGCTACTATGTGGCACATCACTGTAAGATGATGCCCCCTCAATTTTTTCAACCCTAAAGTGGAAACCATTTAATTTTAGTCAGGTTTTGTTTTTGCTATTGTTTAACACATTTTTCCTCCAGCTTGGGTGCAACTATCAAACATGCTTCTGGATGACCTATAAAGAATGAATAGTAATTGGATAATACAGTTATTCCATAAATTGAGAAACATGTCTCAGCTGGGCAAATATTGCTGATTCAGCCTCCCTTCCTGCCATCTAATCCTTTTTACTTGCAGTTAAAAAAAAGTCCTGATTTTCATGCCTCAAACAGACTTCTTGAAACAGATTTGAAAACAAGAGCCTATTGCCAGCGGGAGCAGGACTCCCCAGTAGGGTCCCTGCCATCTCAGCTCACCTGGAATGCTGGTCGGGCTGGTGACAGTGACTGACAGGGCCAGGCTTACCTTGGTGTGCAGGCTGAGGGCTCCAGGCCCGTTGAAACATCTCTGGAAACGTGCCCAATGGAAACACAGAGCGGCGTGGTACACTTTCATGCCAAAGATTTTCAGGAATGGATCCAAAAACATCTTCTGTAACAGGAAATGAAAGAGGAAATAACTTGTTATTCCAAAGGGGTGAAAGGATTGGGGTGAGAGTTTAAAGAAGGGCTGAAAAGAGAGGAAAAGAACTGAGCTGTGAAGGTGAGGTGATGCCGAAGAGGGGAAGTCAGTAGTTGGAGCTGGAATGTTAATGAGCGCACAAAGATAAGGAGGAAGTAGGGACTGTCTGGAAGGCAAACACACCATCATGGAAAGGGCAGCTTTGCCAAGAATAACAACATCAAGATAATTAAAGGAAAAGACTAACGTAAATGTGAGGAAAAGGAGAAAATGCTGAACAGGTCTTAAATACCAGAACATTCCAGCTCAGCATTTTGTGATTAACAACATAAACAGGAAAAGGAAAGGAAGGGCTTCTGCAGCCACACACACAGACATTCCATCCTCTGATATTTGTGTTATCTGTTGACTCAGGATACACTGATTGGGATGATAATTATAACTTTTATTGTTTATCTCTCTGGGTCTGGTATGTTCTGTATATTTGTCAGAAGGCTGTGATACTAGGATACTTAATTAATTTCCTGAATTGTGTTATTTTGTAGTATAAGTTTGTAGTGTAAGCTGTAGAACCAAATCATGCATCTTTATTATATACAAGATTTTCTTGAGCTCTTTCCTGCTAACTAATGGAGTGCCTGCAAAACAATTTTAAAAGTTGGTAAAACTAATTAATTAGTATACTGACCACACACAACATCACACTGCATGACATCCCACCTACTCTGTCTGGAAGCAGTTCACATCAAACTCTAATTTGTGTTCTCTTTCTGTTCTTGAGCATTCCACAATCTTCTTTCTAGAATAAAATTGTGTGGAAGACTGCAGTCTTTTCCAGGGAGAAGGGAATTATAAAGTCCACAGGCAAATAAAAATAACATGTCCTTTTTAGTACAGAGATCCAAATTAGACTTCTAATTCAGTCAAAAAAAAAAAAAAAGCAATGTTGGGATCTCTTCCCTAAATTATTACCAAAAAGAATGTTTATATATAACCTCGTTTATTGTAAAAGAGTACAAAAAAGACCAGTAAATATATTTCCCTATGTGATGAAATTCACCAATCTAATTTCTCTTTAATGCTTCTCTTTAAAAAAAATATTCTCCTGAAGGTTGTTTTGTGTGTATCTAAATTTATAATACTAGGTATATACCACTCCAAAAATGTGCATCAATACATAAAACCCTAGGAATAGTATTTGACTAACCAAACTCACTATTGCTTGATTTCCTCTCTTTAGTTAACTTTATGGTAAGTTTAATCTCATTCAACCCTTTAAAAATGTTTTCATAAGTTGTTGCTTTACTGGTACATAGCATTGCTTACATAGCAGTTCATAAAATCATAAAAACTTGACATATTCTTTTAATACTGTGTAAAGTTCATTAACATTTGAATGAAGCACTCTTATTTACACAGTTAAGTCTGGGGTGCTCAGGACAGTAAGGTGGTGTGGAATGCATTGCTGTGAATTTGTAAATGCACAGCGGTCCTTGGCATCCTGGCACAGAGGCAATCCTAGCCACTGGGCAAGGTGAGCCAGAGTTTATATAGTTGACTGGCTTGCTTTGCTGTCTTCATTCTTCTTCACTTTCGTTTTCAGGATCTAAGTCAGAATCCCCATTTAATTCTTTTTCACTTGCTCTATCTCTGTCGTCACCATTTTCTTCATCTTTTCCTTTGGCATCCTCATCTTCCTCTTCAGCATCATCCTCATCTTTTTCACTTTCACTCTCCTCCTCATCTTCATCCCAATCATCATCAGAATCCTTATCTGCTATTTCATCGTCAGACTCCTCTTCAGAAGATACTTCTTCATACACCAACTTTGCCTTCTGTCCAGGGGAAGTTGTTTCCTTTGTTTTCTCTGATAATGTTACTTGTGTAATTAGAAAAATAAGCTTTCCATGAAGGTTCTGAAAAGTTTTGACTCTGCTTTCCATTAACTGGTAGAGTGTCCCCAGCTGAGGTACCAGGTCAGGCAACGTGGACAGGTATGCTGCATGAACTGTTAACATACATTTTAGCCACTGAACCATTAGCACAGAACTGTTAGGACATCCTGTGGCCTCTTTGTAAGCTCTTGCAACAATGGAATAACAGTATGCAGGGGCATCCTTAATACAGTCTTCTTTATAAGGTTTAAATTCCTAGTTTGAAGTACTTTTTTTAGCATTTCAAAATCGTTACTTTTTAAGCCCTGGGTAAGAAGAACTGGAAAGCTATTTGTCTGGAGGTCATCCTTTCCTTTTTTGTGTGTGTCTATATCCATTGCTCCCAGGCGTTCTTCAATGCTAACCATAATGCCAGTGTTGGAGACAGGTGAGACATCTGCAATCCAAGCTTCCAGATTCTAGTGAAAAAACAAACAAACAAACAAAAAAAACAAAACAAACAAACAAAAAAAAAAAACAACTGCCCAAGAAACTCATGGTTTGAAAATGTTAATGCATAAAAAGCCTTGTATATGAAGATTCAGAAAATGTAAGGACTTGGCACCTGATTCTAAAACACATGAAAAGACCTATTCTCAGAGAAGCTTGCCCCACTATAACTATCCCTCGATAACACCCTCAGATCTGCAGGAGGAAACAAGATATTATTAAAGGGTATAAAGACTGTTATGGTCCCAAAACATTTTGTAAAATGTCTTCCTATTTTTATTAGTGAGCTCCAAATGATGATGTATTAGCTAGAATATGCCATACTACAACTAAGTGTCCTTGATAAATACTTCAAATTTACGTGTAAACAAACATGATGCAATATGCTATACAAAAACTCAATTGTGGTCTGTGTGTGGTGGCTCTCGCCTATAATCTCAGCACTATGCAAGGCTGGGGCAGGCGAATCACCTGAGCCCAGATGTTTGATAAACAGCCTGGACTACATGGCAAAACCCTGTCACTACAAAAAAATTAGCCGGGCATAGTGGCATGCGTCTGTGGTCCCAGCTACTCAAGAGGCTGAGGTGTAAGGATCATTGAGCCCAGGAGGCAGAGGTTGTAGCGAGCCGAGATCAAACCACTGCACCCCAGTCTGGGTGACAGAATGAGACCCTGTCTCCCAAATGAAACAAAAACAACAACAATAACAAAACAAAACAAAACAAAAAACCACCCTCAATTGTATAGAACTGATCCCTGATTTTTTTCCTCTTTCACCAGGAGCAATTGGTGACAAATAAAATGAAATGAAATAAAATAAAATAAAATAAAAACTTTGACTTTGGCTTTTTCACCACTGTAGGAGCTTGAGGATTTACCAATGTTATCTATGTGTTCTCGAAGTGTAAAGAACCAAGAAAGACTACGTTTGAATAGACAACCTCTTTTAAAGGTAGGAGATCTATTTGGCTACCAGACAGGCAGGTGTGTGGAGCTCTGGAGACACAATTTAGACCTGGTTTTGTCACAAACTACCTGTGTGACAGAAGCAACAAGTCAAATAAGAAGGGGGAGAAAGAGGTGCTGCCTTCTAATGAGTCTGGGGAGAGGAGCAAAGAGGGTGGGGAAAGAAAGAACAGGCCTGAGAGAAGATTTGGAGTTGAGGAAGAGCTTATTCAGACTCATCAATAGGAAAGAATACTGAAAAAACCTAGAATCCAGTTTAAGGCAAACAGAAGAAAAGATAGTAGCATTGCTATGTCAAAGTGTTCAAAGAGGGTAGTCCAGTTGAAACGTTTTAAAGACTCTTAATGGGACTGTGGTTGGATTTTGAAATTGAGGATGTGGTTTTCAACCACTGGACAAGACTGATAAACTACAAAAATGCACTCACCTGGCTATTGGTACCCACTGGAAAGGGATGTATACTCTGTAATTTCTCTTTTTGTTTTTAAAGCAGAATATTGGTTGGGATTATTTTTATTGCATTTGAGGAGACCATATATGTACTTGACTTTTATTTCTTGTTATATATAACTTTTGAACTATAATCTCAAAAATTTAAAACCTCTTTTCAGCACATCTCAAAAATATAGCAGAGCCCTCAATTTTTTAAATTTATTTTTATTTTTTATTTTAATTTAGGTACATGCTATATCTGGCGTTTCTCCCCATGTTATCCCTACCCTCCCTACCCACCCGCTGCTGTCTCTCCCCTACCCCCCAACTGCCTCCAGTGTGTGATGCTCCTCTCCCTGAGCCCACGTGTTCTCTTTGTTCAACACCCACCTATGAGTGAGAACATGTGGTGTTTGGCTTTCTGTTCTTGTGTCAATTTGTTGAGAATGATGGTTGATGGTTTCCAGATTCATCCAAGTTCCTACAAAGCAAATGAACTTATCATTTTTTATGGCTGTGTGGTATTCCATGGTATATATGTACCACATTTTCTTTGTCCAGTCTACTATTTCTGGGCATTTGTGTTAGTTCCAGGACTTTGCTATTGTACACAGTGCTTCAATGAATATACATGTGCATGTGTCTTTATAGTAGAATGATTTATAGTTCTTTGGGTGTATACCCAGTAATGGGATTGCTAGGTCAAATGGAATTTCTATTTCTAGATCCTTGAGAAATTGCCACACTGTCTTCCACAATGGTTGAACTAATTTACACTCCCACCAACTATGTAAGAGTGTTCCTATTTCTGCACATCCTCTCCAGCATGTGTTGTCTCCTGATTTGTTAATGATCACTATTCTAACTGGTGTGAGATGATATCTCAATGTAGTTTTGATTTGCATTTCTCTAATGACCAGTGATGATGAGCATTTTTTCATATGTTCGTTGGCCTCATATATGTCTTCTTTTGTAAAGTGTCTGTTCATATCCTTTGCCCACTTTTGAATGGGTTTTTTTTTTCTGGTATATCTGTTTTAGTACTTTGTAGATTCTGGATATTAGCCCTTTGTGATATGGGTAGATTGCAAAATTTTTTCCCATTTTGTTGGTTACTGGTTCACTCTAATGATGGTTTCTTTTGCTGTACAGAAGCACTGAATTTTAATTTTAATTAGATTCCATTTGTCTATCTTGACTTTTATTGCCATTGTTTTTGGTGTTTTAGTCATGAAGTCCTTGCCTATGCCTATGTCCTGGATGCTTTGCCTACATTTTCCTCTAGTGTTTTTATGGTGTTAGGTTTTATGCTTAAATCTTTAATCCATCTGGAGTTAATTTTAGTGTAAGGTGACAGTTAGGGGTCCAGTTTCTGCTTTCTGCACATGGCTAGCCAGTTTTCCCAACATCATTTATTAAACATGGAGTCCTTTTCCAATTGCTTGTTTTTCTCAGGTTTGTCAAAGATCAGATGGTTGTAGACGTGTGGTGTTGCTTCTGGGGCCTCTGTTTGTGTCTTCTCTTATTTCCCGAGCAGTGGTTTGCAGTTTTCCTTGAAGAGGTCCTTTACCTCCTTTGTTAGTTGTATTCCTAGGTATTTTATTCTCTTTGTAGCAATTGTGAATGAGAGTTTGCTCTTGATTTGGCTCTCTGCTTGTCTGTTATTGGTATATAGGAATGCTTGTGATTTCTGCACATTGATTTAGTATCCTGAGACTTTGCTGAAGTTGCTTATCAGTTTGAGAATATTTTTGGGCTAAGACGATGGGGTCTTCTAGATATACAATCATGTCATCTGCAAATAGAGACAGTTTGACTTCCTCCTTTCCTAATTGAATACCCTTTATTTCTTTTTCTTGCCTGATTTCTCTGGCTAGAACTTCTAATACTATACTGAATAGGAGCGGTGAGAGAGGGCATCCTTGTCTAGTGCCTGATTTCAAATGGAATTCTTCCAGCTTTTGCCCATTCAGTATGATATTGGCTATAGGTTTCTGATATATAACTTTTATCATTTTATGATATGTTCCATCGATACCTAGTTTATTGAGAGTTTTTAGCATGAAGGGCTGTTGAATTTTGTCAAAGGTCTTCTCAGCATCTATTGAGATAATCATGTGGTTTTTGTCTTTGGTTCCATTTACATGATGGATTATGATTGTGGATTTGTGTATGTTGAACCAGCCTTGCGTCCCCAGGATGAAACCTACTTGATAGTGATGGATAAGCTTCTTGATGTGCTGTTGCAATCTGTATTTTATTGAAGATTTTGCATTGTTTGATACAGTTTCAGAAGGAATGGAACCAGCTACTCTGTACATATGGTAGAATTCAGCTGTGAACCCATCTGGACCTGGACTTTTTTTGGTTAGTAGGCTATTGATTGCTGCCTCTACTTCAGCCCTTGTTATTGGTTTATTCAGGGTTTCAACTTCGTCCTGGTTTAGTCTTGGTAGAATACAAGTGTCTAGGAATTTATCCATTTCTTCCTGGTTTACTGGTTTATGTGCATAGAGCTGTTTGTAGTAATCTCTGATGGTAGTTTGTATTTCTGTGGAATTGGTGGTGACGTCCCCTTTATGGTTTTTTTGTTGCATCTATTTGATTCTTGTCCCTTTTCTTTTTTATTATTCTGGCTAGCGGTCTATTTTGTTGATCTTTTCAAAACCAGCTCCTGAATTTATTGATTTTTTGAAGGGTTTTTTGTATCTCTATCTCCTTCAGTTCTGCTCTGATCTTAATGATATGGTGTCAATTTTAGATCTTTCCTTGTTTTCCATGTGGGCAATTTATTGCTATAAATTTCCCTCTTGACACTGCTTTAAATATGTCCCAGAGATTTGGGTATATTGTGTCTTCATTCTGATTGGTTTCAAAGAATATCTTTATTTCTACCTTCATTTCATTGTTTATCCAGTTGACACTCAGAAGCAAGTTGTTCAGTTTCCAAGTGGTTGTGGTGGTTTGAGTGTGAGTCTTAATCCTGAGTTCTAGTCTGATTGCACTGTGGTCTGATAGACTGTTTGTTTTGATTTCCATTCTTTTGCACTTACTGAGGAGTGATTTGCTTCCAATGATGTGGTCAGTTTTAGAGTAAGTGCAATGTGGTGCTGAGAAAAATGTATATTCTGTGGATTTGGGGTGAAGCATCCTGTATATGTCTATTAGGTCCACTTGGTCCAGCTCTGCATTCAAGTCCTGGATGTCCTTGTTAATTTTCTGTCTTGTTGATCCGTCTAATATTGACAGTGGAG